AAAAAGAGAGAGAGAGAGAGAGAGAGAGAGAGAGAGAGAGAGAGAGAGAGAGAGAGAGAGAGAGAGAGAGAGAGAGAGAGAGAGAGAGAGAGAGAGAGAGAGAGAGAGAGAGAGAGAGAGAGAGAGAGAGAGACACACACACACACACACACACACTGTATATGTGTATAGGTGCATTCATAGTCTGACAGTGCATTCTTTAACAAGATCTGCAGTCACCAAAACATGGGTCTGTCAACTTTCACTTCTGCTGTGAGTAATACCAAAAGACAACACTGAGTAAGACTACTATCCATTCATCCGGCATTTGGCTTTGGCACAGCGTTAACTTTGGGCCTGTATTTCAGTTTTGAATGGTGAGGGGGAAAAAAAAGACGCTTATTTGCAGTCAGTTTGCTTCATCAGCATCCTAATTTGACAGTAAAACACAAAACTCTGCCTTTGCACTGACTGTATTCCTCAGGAGGACTGTCGCATCACTTAAATGCGTGCATGTGTGTGTGTGTGTGTGTGTGTGTGTGTGTGTGTGTGTGTGTGTGTGTGTGTGTGTGTGTGTGTGTGTGTGTGTGTGTGTGTGTGTGTTCGACCGCCTTTGATGGTGCAAGCTACCTCTGCCAAGCTCATGAGTGCTCCAGAACTGACTCAGAAACACTTTGGTGCTGCTGATTACATGAACACATGGTTGCAGGTGGAAAAGTCATTTGGAGGTTATTAAGCGAGGGTTTGACTAAGTAGTTTAGTTTTTTGTTTTTTTTTTTTTGCTTACTGACAGCAAAGTTCTATCCAGTTGATTGTGGGCCCACGAGCAGATGTGTCTTTTCTGCTGAGTGGCGTGAAAGCGCGCATGAGAATGCGTTTTCCTCCTTCTCCGCATTGATCTTAACAAACTGCACACGCACTCACACACTCTCGACTTACGGGAACAAAAGAGAACAGTTCACAAATGTCAGTACCGGGGTCACACCCCCGTCTTCATTATGAACAACAGCAAAGTCTGTTTCATCAAAACCACACCTTAAAAATACCTTCGGAGACCGGAGAGGATAAGTCGCCTCTACAAGATAAATACTCTCACTTGAGAGTCGCCATGGTTTCGGTAAAACACGGCAGACTAAAATTTAAAAAAAAAATGCTCCAGTTTTTAGGTTGTACGCTGTTTTTGTGCTTGACACTTTGTTACATACAGTTCATAAAAACTCTACACACCCCTGTTCAAATTCCATTTTTTTGTGATGTAAAATAATGAGATCAAGTTAGAACATTTTTTTTTTTAAATGTCACTATTAGTGTAAAATCTGTCCAACTTTTTAAAAAATATATCTATTTTCAAGAATGGAAGTAAAAATAAGTGACTGAAATAATGTGATTGCACAAGTGTGCACACCCTCCTATAAGTGGAGAAATGGCTGTGAACCAATCACATTCAAACTTCTGTGAAATGAAAGTGAGCATACACTCGCCAAAGTTCCTCTGATCAAACCCAAATAAATTCACATGTTTTAGTAGGCTTTTCCTGACATTTTTTTTTTTTTACATTCCAGCCAGTTTTTTTTTTTTTTTAAATGATTTCTGTTTTGAACTGTCCATAATTCCCTCCACCTTGTCTAAGGCCCTCAGTCCATAGACTCTTTTTTTTTTTTTCAAAATAACTCAACAACTGAATGGCTTCAACAGAAGAAACCACACCTTCTGGACCGGCTGGGCCAGAATCCTGACCTCAACTCGATTGTGATGCTGTGGCATGACATCAAGGCCATGATTCCCACCGGACTTTGTTATGAATATCGCTGAACTGGAACGGTTTTCAAATTCCTCTTGACCGTTGTGTAGCTCTGGTCTGCCACTCCAGGAAACGTTTCATTGAGGTTGCTGTTGCTAAGGAGGCTCAAACCAGTGATTAAATCCAAAGGTCCGCGTACTTTTTCCACTCCACATTGGGATGTTTACATTTGGACAGTGTTTAGACTCTGCGGAGGACTGTTTGTGTGTATTTCCAGTATTGACATAGATTATCATATAGTGGAGCTACATTGTCCCCACAGCTGTGGGAACACTTTTCTTCATCTTCATTTTCTTTTCTTCTTATGTGACCCCCCCACCCCCCCGCCCTCTGTGCATCCATCTTTACAGCATGCACCTGCGGTAGAATTCTCTCTCGATAAGTAAAGCCACCTTCGCCAGAGTTCTAATCAGAGGCGCCATACGCATGCAAGCACAGCAGGGGCGGCGTTTCAGAGAGACGCGTGCGTGAGAACAGCCACTTCCACCAGCCTGTTCAAAAGCATGTGTACCCAGCAGGTGCCTCCTCTGCCCTCTTCGTGGTACAGTATAGCGCTCCTTTTGCTCGACGTGTACATCTGCCCACTTGTCTCCACGAGAGGCAAAAGCCTCAGCCACTCGCCCACATGTGTGAATCAATCAAACAGGATTACAGGGGAGCGTGACATCCCGGGGCAAATCAGCTGCGGGATCAAGACTAATTACATTGCTTGACTTTTTTTTTTTTTTTTTTACATAGGTCGGCACTCTCATTCAACTGGTTGATGAGTGTCTCGTGGAGTCATAAAACACGTCTCAAAGCCCCGCTTGCTCTTCGGCAACGGGGAGGAAGTCGTATTGAATCTCGACACTATCAGTGTTGATTGGCCAACGTGTCCCATTCAGCTGCGCTCACTGTGGCACGTCTCAAACCAGCACGTTCCTTCCTTTCAGACGCGACTTCCTGTGCCGCCGTGGCCAGGTTTCACATTCGGATGCTGAGGGGTAGGGAGGATGTTCATCACATCCTAGGCTGTGAATTGGTAGAGGTATTTCTGTTGCTGTTTGACTTCTACCCAACTCACATTGCTCATGAGATGCGAATGAAAATTCTCATAAAAGTTCACCGACTTTGCAGACTTTCCCCGGTTCAGCCTTTCCAACTTTGTAACTGGAGCGCAGTTGTGAAATTACTGTCGCGTGTCACAGCAAATGTTTATGGTGTTATTTCCAGAGATAGTGTTTCAAAGGATAGGTATGCCGCTGATTCTTTTCTGCCGTGAAATGCTTTTCTGTTTCACTTCACTTAAAAAGACACTTAACTTGGTATCAGGGACTGACATTGAAGTCAAAGGTCAGCACGTATTGTTTTATGTCTGTTATCGTGAGGAGAAAGGCATTTTTAGGGCAAGCACCGTAAAATGATTCACACTGCAACGTCGACGAGATTAGTGACACTGATGCATTGAAATGTACATTCAATGGTGACGGCGTTAGATGCACCAACAATCTCATAATAAGATCGAACATAACATCTGTTTCAAAAATGTCCAGTGATGAAGGTGATAATGCGGATGTAATAATTGAAGGACATTTGATGAAAGTTTCAATATATTTCTTGCACAGGAGCTGATGAGAGGCAGCGCCGAAATCCCAAACTTACGTTACATAACAAAATCTGCGGACACCTGTTCAAAATCAACTCTTACAAAAACATTTGCAACCCGTACAACTCAATTGAAGTGTGGGGGGGGGGGGGGGGGGGGAGACAGAGAGAGGAAGTAAATACAAGCAAGTCAAATAATGTGGTTGCACAAATGTACACGCCACAATATGGGATGTGGTTGTTTTCAGAATGAACCAATCTCATTCCAAATCACGTTTATTTGGTAGTCAGCATACAAATTAAGCCCGAAATAACTTTCAAGTGGTCTAGTAGGCTTTCCCTGGAGGTTTTGTCCGAACACCAACTGCTCTTTTGAACTTTTCACCATTTCCTCCAGCTTTGTCTGGCGGCTTCTGTTCCCAAAATCAGTTTCTCAGCTGGCCTCCGGCTCACCTGCGTCATTGAAAGGCACAGGCAGTCGAAAATTGGTGGGTGAAGGAACAAAGACAAACACAGGCAGGCCGCACTGGTAGACAGTCAGACACAACTTGCAAGGCAGGCGGCAGGTCGGCAGGCACCCAAAGAGGGGAGGCGAACAGGAAGGATACACTCCACAATGGCAATGTCTGGCGTTGGCAATGGTGAAACTCGGAAGAATGCTGCGCTATGAAAGCAAACGGGAGCCACGCGGTTCAGGCGCAACAGAATAGAATACTTGACATTGTTTCCATTGAAGTACTTTTCATTTTTTCCATCAGGGTGAGACCTAAAAGACAAAGTCTGACATTCCACAAGCAGCTACGGTTAAAACGGAAGAAAGGTCACGTTTGTTTATTTTTTTTTTTGTTTTCCCCAAAGGGCCCCTGCGTTAAAGGTGATCGTGTTGCCGGCTGATAAAACCAGAGGGCTTTTACGGGAGTGTCTATTGGAGTGCGTTGCCGTTTGTCTCGCGATGCATCATGGGAGAAAGATGAGTGGGCGTACGCGGAGCACTCGAAATAGCAGTCGGGTCCTAAATGCTGTGTTTAAAACAATCAATAGCCACTCTGGTTCCGAACGCCGAGAAAGAGCGTGATGCGTCTGCGCACCGGCGCGATGGGAGCCCTGATGCGGCAGGGTGAATGTGCGTGAGCGTGTGTGTGGGCCGCGGGGCCACCCTGTGATCGTCTCCTTGGCAGCTTCGATGCTGAGGAGCTCTTTGGGTGCTGAAGAGGCCTCCCAGAATAAGAGAACAAACACACACACACACGCACGCACACACACGCGCACAACCACACACGCACACACCCTAAAGTCTTATGAGAGCTGACAGCCTCTTTTTCTTGTGTGTACTCGGGGTCAGAGTGGCATAGCCCACATGCATCTCCGGCGCTACGCAAACATGAATGCACACATACACGGCCATGTGCATGTGTGCATATTCACACTACAACTCAGCCTATCTCCCTACTCGCCACCACCACTACCTACCCCCATCCCCCGCCCCCCCCAGTGTTTGATGTGGTCTTTGGAGAACCATCTTGAAAGAAATTCCAGCTTTTGAAGTCGCTCTGCACTTTTCTTCTGCTGGGTTCCTCTTTCATCTTCCGACGGATTGAAAGTTGAGAACAAGATACGCACTTGCCCCACTTGAGCTATTTACCATGTGTTGAACCTGGGAATTTGAGACGTTTATCACGCAGAGGCTATTGTTCCCCGTAAGATGCGGCCACGCACTCATCTCTTGCCAAGACGCGCCAGCCGCTTTCAACACAGAGCGCTTCTCGCAACAAATGCCCCCAGAAGAGTTTTGAATTCCAGGCGTTTATTCACACTGTTTTCAATGCGAGCGACACAAAGAATCATCTGATACGCTCGCACAAATGCAGGTATGTGTGCTGTCATGGCCGCTGACTGTTTGCTTACTCTAGCATGCATTCGCGGTGTGAAGACTATTGACTTGGATAATCCCTTTACACAAACTCAAGCACGTACAGTAAAGGTGAGGATGAAAACAGAAATGAAAACTGTCATTGCGTAACCGACGCATGTTCAAAATGGATCCAAGAGGTGGCCATAAACATGAGTGAAAATATTCACCATGTCGGTACAAATCTCCAAATGCAACATTCAAAAGTGGGAGAAAAAGGCTCTATTCTGGAGTTTTAAAACTTACACGTTCTTCCAGCCCCCTATTCAGAGCTACTCACGAAACGAATGAGTGTAGACTATAATCATGCTTTTGCACAAAAACGGCGGTCTAATTTAGTTTAAGCAATTTGCGATTTTGATTATTGTGTTTTTCTGAACAGGTTAACGCAATAGACTATATTCATGCTTTTGCACAAAAACGGCGGTCTAATTTGGTTTAAGCAATTTGTGATTTTATCTTTTGATTATTGTGTTTTTCTGAACAGGTTAACGCACGTTCCTCAAAAATGTAGGGGGAAAATAACATTGAACAAATAGACGGCAATGTTTGTATAAGGTGCTGGTGGGAAAAAAGTGCCTGACAAGCTGCAGAACAGGTCGGTTTGTACAATCAACACACTGGGGTCTATTTTCATAGACGGCGCACGTGGGCAAAAACTGGCGCATCTGGATTTTCACGCCGGGGCAAGTCGAGTTGACTGTGTTTGGTATTTTGGCCGACCGCACTCCACCATGCTGCGGCTTCCCGGCAGAGCCAGGGCGTTTTCTGTCACATGCCCCTGGCGCACCTGACAATTTGGGATTGAAAATTTGACTCAACTTTCGACCAACTCGGAGCAGGTCTATATTGTGGCGCAGGTGGTGCAACATGATTTTTGTGGGTTTGATCCAGGCACAGGCAGACATATTCTGCACTCCGCCGAGATGTGCGGTGCTTGTCATCATATTTCACACACAGCCACGAATGATGGGGGTAGGTAGGCCGTCTCCAAGTGGCCACTTGGCAGCGGGATCTGTGATCACCCTGGCTGCATTCCCCGCAAGGGGAGATCTTGCAGTTCCTTATAAATGTACTCTGTGTGCGTCGATCTCCAGCATCGTCTGTTTCTGCTCTCGGATGGTAACGATCACTTTCACAAAATATCAAACTCCAGCTGTCTCTTCTGCCGAGAAGAGAGAAAGAACATGACGTTCATCTCTTGTCATGGGTGCGCATCTCCTGATCTAGACGAAGCTCAAAATAGAAATATCTCACTTCCTTTGGCAGTATAATTAGACCTGGTCATAGAAATAATCCGGGAAAAAGTTTGTAATGATCCGTTCTTGTTAATATCTTTGAAAGAGGTGAGAAATGTGGTGTGCGGTGGCGTGTTAAAAAAGATTCATCATCACTGTGTAAATTGTTCATGTGTAAAAGAGCCTCATGACTGCTCGTATTAGTTGATCTTTCTAAAAAGACGACAAGAGTTCACAGCTTCCTGACTTTGCGGTTTGTGACACACTTGAGCAACAGCGATCGGTCACTGACGTGCGATGTAAATTTGATGACTCCACTTTGGAAAATGGTGTTGAAATTCCCTGAACTTTGTCAAGATTCATCGTAATTTTGCGGCACGATTACATTAGAGAAAACGAAACAACCTTGGGCGACAGGTGAACAAATCAATCAGGAAATTCAAATGATGAATCCAGTATGGGCATTGTTTGTTGGAAGACACGTCAAACTTATAGGAAAGGCTGATATAAAGATCTGCCGTTCTTGGTTGAGCGCAGATGAAGTGTGACTCTGGACGTTAATAGCCAGGCAAGAGACAGCTTGTCTCAGATTGTGAAATACCCAATGGTGAATATAGTGCCATCATTTGGAAGTGGCAACACAGTATGACCAGGACCTTTAAGATGGAATTGTGGAATGCTTCCTGGACTTTTTTTTTTTAACCATATTGATTATTTTTCTGGTCATATTGTGACATTTTTTTACTCAGGCATTCATGTGCAAAAAGATGATGGTAGTTTTTTTTAAAAAAACGTTTTTGCTCATTTTCACTTCCCCCATTGCAGTGAATTGACTCGGGGCCTCAGGCTTCACACTTCACAATGAATGGAATATACAGTTTGTATTTCACATTGAACAAAATTGTGATTGAATTGCACATTTGATCAGCGCCAATAACCCTTAAGGTGTTATTTTAGGGTGATTTTTGTGTGTGTGTGCGTGTGTGCGTGTGTGTGTGTCTGGCTCGTTGGCGCTGTGGGCCAGTCTGATCCGAGTTGACAAGGAAGCAGCTGGTGCGTATGATTTTTCTTATTGGGCTTGTGCCTCACAAATTTTGCGAGGATACATGCGGAAAAGGGGGACGAATCACAGCAATTCTGATCATCTAAACTGCTGTGCTACTCTCAAATGTGAGGTTTCTTATGCGGACTGAACAGATAGCTAGCTAGCTAGCTAGAAAGAAAGAAAAAAAGATAGCTAGCTAGCTAGCTAGCTAGCTAGAAAGAAAGAAAGAAAGAAAGAAAGAGATAGATAGATAGATAGATAGATAGATAGATAGATAGATTCAATTCATACGCAAGCATTTTTAAATTCATACGCAACCATTTTCTTTCTCATACAAGAATCTTTGGGTTTTTCATGATCCAACTCCACTCCATTTTGCCCATGCATCTCATCACTGCGTGTTGTTTGTAAATCTCACGACCTCGCAACACATCGAGGCTGCATTCTTTCTAAATCTATTCTGAAAAATGTGGGGCAGTGACCAGGGAAATCAGATCATCGTCGCCTTCCTTTTGGAAGAATAATGGAAATTTACAATGGCAGGAATGGGCGAGTGGCCAAAAAGGAGGGAAAAATACAGAAAGTGTGTGACTGTGTTCTTGGAAGCAGTATTGTGTTCAGGACCTGGGGGAGAAGAAGTCTTTCATATTTCATACCCTTCAATTGCCAAAGGTAATTTGATAAGATGATGTGAAGAATAGATGGAAAAAAAGAATACATGACATTTTTGAAATTCCAACCTGGGCGATGTGATCCCACGCAGTGGCTCATTGTTCTTTCGTGTTTTTGCTTGGACTGTAAGCAGTTAAAGCGGGTTATGATTGATTTCGTCGTTGTTTTCTTAAATTTCCTGTGTCACAATGCATTCTTGGATAAACATGAATATTCTAACATATTTACAGTAGTTAAGGATTATATTAGGTGACCCCAATTCACATTCTAGAAACAAAAAAAAATGGAGAGGCCCACGGAGGCAACGACTTCTGTGTGACTGAATGGGTGTGTGCCGTGCAATTGCTTGATGCCAAGGGAGAAGACATACGAGGGAGAGGGACGGCAAAGAGGAGAAAGAGGGACGAGAGATGCGAAGGAGGCGTAGGGGCGTGTGAGGAAGTGGATGAAGACAGAGCGGCAGAGGAGGGCGATTTGGAAGGGTTGCCAGGACTCCGAAGCTCATCTGTCATTCTGTGCGTCAGTCAACCTATTCCCAGACTCATACGCAGCCAGTTCTTGCGCAAATGAGCGTGTAGAGGCACACAGACGCACACGCACACATTCGCAATCCGTGGTTTTCCTACAAACCTATGCTGACTGTTCCTCACAGCCTAATTAGCTTCCACCAACACAACAATCCACTTCCCCGCACATTTTTCTCCCATTTCTTCCCTCACTCAAGTGCATGCCATATTGTCGTACTTCGGGCTGGTTCCCTGGCAACAGCTGCTTCCTGTTTGTCTGGCTTTATTGCCAGGGAGTAAGGGCAAGGTTGGAGATGGCGTCTTCAGCTCACTAATGACAATAAAGTGGCCTTCGAGTGGCCAGAAGGCTCACTTGTAGGATTGCCGTGTTATACTGAAGAAACCTATATCTAATATATAGGCAGACATATATCTATGTATTACTTGTTTTTCACCCATTAGACAGGTCTTTGGTTTTCATGTCGTTTATAATTACAGCGTCATGTAATGACAATAATGTAGTCTTCACGGGCAAAACTAAAAACAAATAAGACCAGGAGGATAAAACTGTCAAAGAGGATTAAAAGGCTGACATGTTCGTCAAACGAGGTGAACCCCGTCTTTATTGTTTTTTGCCTGTAACGGGACGTTTGTTCTCTGACCAAGTATGTGCTCTTCATGTTGACCGACAGGACCACACAGGTGTCAGACCTCCCGGGTGATGCTATCAGACCTCCGCAGACGCTGCGCGGTAAGGGAAGAGCTAAATGGCGAGACAAAAGGAGCGAGGGGTTTGCAGAGGGCTGAGTAAGAGGGCGCGCTTAATGCGCGTTGAGGAGCTGAGATGCAATTCAGCCATGTGGAAAATGCTTCCTTTAGAGCTTGTGAGCGATGTCCTCACATTGACTCGGTATGTGTGTGAAGGTGGCCCTTTGGCAGATGGACATCAAATCTGGGAACTAGTGGACAATCCATCAGGAGTCGGAGTCACTGAACATCGTGGCTGTGTTGCCCGCTGCTTGTGTATCATACATATAATGTAGTCAGTCTAAGGTCAGTCTTTTATTTATCGGAAGAATTTATTGTGGTCTTTTTACACATCGGAAAAAGTTTGTCGGGTCAGTTTTTTTCCCCATAAAAGTTACCGTCATAGCAAATTGCAGTCATATTAAAGGAAAAAAAAGACTTCAGTAAGACTTCATCTTCCCTTCCTTGCAAAATTTCTAAGGTCAAGAGTGTTCAGGATTTGCCCACATGGATATTAGCTTCCTTCTGACAATCCGGTGACACATTCCCCTCTTTCTTTCCCCTTCTTTCCTGTGAATCAGCCAGGTTTTAACTGCTTCCAGATCTGCACCTCTTCCTCTCTCGTACCTCTTCCCCCGACTCTGATTTGCTGCCGCGACGTTTCGGTTGGAAAGCTTTCAAAGTGGATGTGGAAATGGACAACTTCAGCCAGTGAGTCAGCTAACAAGGTGCTCCTTTGAAGGAAACCGCAAGCCGAGGCGCGGGCGTGTCGCGGATTTTGTTTTTTCATAAATCACGGCAGCGTTGGGTGGGTTTTATTTCATGTTTGAACGGAAGGTCTTTGATGAGTATATCAGTTTTTGTGTGTTCACCTTGACTGGAAACGTCGAGAAGGTAAGGAAACCGCTTTTAGCGCGGTACTCGTGCGTTTGTGTTTATTTGCGTGCGCGCGGAAAGAGAAACACAGACGGGGTCGAACATCTCCGTCTGTGTCTGCGCCACTTCCACGCTGTTGCCGTACAGCGAGCGCTTGATGACATGTAGATGGCAAGCCAACTACAACTGTTTTGATTCGTCACCCCTTAGTCACCGGTAGCAGCCGCATCGCAGCTCCGTGTGCACAAGGGGCCTTTAAGACGGCCGCCCTTCAATCATATGAGGTCACTGCGGTCAAACGGAGGCGAGGAGCGAGACCCCCTTTTGCCGTGCGCTGTTGTTTACAGCTGCTGACACCACTCCTTGAGGAATCTGTTATTAGGGAGCGAGAGAGGCTTTGAGCCTGGAGCTAAATGCCTCCCAACAGAGGGTTGCAAGGTGTTATTGTGTGGTGCGCCGGGGTCCGCCGGGGGAAAGTCCCGCGCCACAAAAACGATGCTGGTGATCAAATCGTGGGACAAAGGTCTTATTATGCCAATGAGCGGTCACACAGAAGCGATATGTGGGGTGGGGGGTGGGTTGGAAAGTGGACTTTCAAGCATTTCCATCATGCATCGTTTGTAAAAAGTGCTATAAAAGATTCGATATTAAAGGACTGCATTTACAAGCCTTTGTCCGCATGTTTATTGTCATATAAAATGAAGTTGATGACTCATCTCATCCCCTGGATTAGACCTGATCATTTGCACCTGCAGACGCATAAGAAGAAAGCAAAGACCAGAACCAAGATGTGGCTCATTTGTTTTTGTTTTTTTTAAATGCTGTCTAACGCTTGTCTTGTTATCTCCTCAGGTTTCAAAGAAAAGAATCTCTGTGAGTGAGCAAAGGCAGCTGCGGATGGTGACAGCCATGCAGACAGCTGGGACTGCGGCTGAATCGCTCAATAACGTTCAACGCGAGACCCCTGTCAAGACTCAAGCGCGCCCATTGAAGCCATCATGGGCCGGTCTACCGTGAAGGTATTCAAGTGCGATGCCAAAAAGGGGGAGCCACAGCAGAAAAGAAAAAGTGATGAGTCACCAAACTTCCCAAAACCCCCCAACCCTCCCCTTCGTCGTTTACGGGAAACAAAATGCAGGGTTTTTTTTTTTTCCCCGCTCTCCTGTGCTCCCTTTGCGGTGCTCAGACATTCATCTTCTTGACATGCTGTCGGGTCATAGCCAGGGTTAATAGGTGTGTCGGTGAGCTTGTTTCATCCGTCCCCGTGGGGGCTGCTCCGCCAAACACATTTCAACTATGTGAAGCAGACAAGTTTGTTAGGGCTGTGCGGGGGAGTTTGCGAATAGTTATCACTGGCTCGGGAAACAGATAAGCCTTTGTTCTGAAGCATTCCCAAAAAATTTATACAAGTTAGGCTTGGATTAATCAACTAAAGAAAAATTAATTTCATCTTGTTTTTATGATTGTTGTTGTGGTTTGCCGTTTTGTCCAACACAATTTGGAATAATCAGTCTAATAAGTTCGAACCATTTTAGGTTATGACATAACCATAGTTTTTAGAAACACCTCTTGGTATGACGCATTGCAGTTCTAGAAAACAAACGACCTCCGCACAATGTAGACATCACTCTCACATGTCCGAGGAGTTTCGGATGTTTTCTGAACAAACATCTTTCTGACAACCGGTTGCAATTCTTACCACAGGATGTCTTGTAAAGTTCAGCTTTCTTCAAATGATGGCATACAGTGTGTGTGTGTGTGTGTGTGTCCCCGGTAAGGATATTCTCTGAAAGAGAAAGAAAGACTCGGTCAGTTTTCAACTTTCAATACACCGTCGTCACAACGATGTACAAAAATGCTGTCTAACTAAATGTGGCCTGAAAGAAGAGACAATATTTTCCATACGTGAGGATGAATACCATTCAGACTCAATCATGAAACACTGTTTGCATTATCTCCCTCCAAATCGATACACAATAATGAAGCAGTTCACAATCTGCATCTTTTAAAAAATATTTTAATAGAATACATCGTACGGAGCAGAGATGCCGATGCAGATGCAACTTACTTTGCTCCCGCCTGTGTGTGTAAGGTAATTGTTCCGCTGATACAAATGCCCAAAAATCAATTTCCACAGGACTGGTGTTGGTTGACCCAGCCTCAGCCCAGTTTTCTTTTTTTTTTTTTTTTTCTTGAGTGTGCCCTGAAAAGGAATTTTTAATCATCTCTGACATTGTCCTCCCTTGACCAAACGTTGGTGCACATGGGTGTGTGTGTGTGGTTGATGCCACCACTGGGAATTCTGAAAGCCTTGCGCAAATCACATTTACATGGCAACATGGAGAAACTGAAATCTGATTGGACGATAAAAGAACGCATGCCAGCTGCTTGGCCATGACACATGCTATGAGATGATGGTAACAGACTCTTGGAAATAAATTCCAAGCATTTCCCGAAGGTTGTAGGCATGCTTCCGATGGTCTTCAGGCCAGCAGAGAAGACCCTGACGGACGTGGCTGCATGCTAACGCGTACTTACGAGGTAAAAGATAAAGTCGAGGAGATGGCTCGGAATAGCATGGCTTCTTTCGGTGTCACAAAATAAAATACATAAAACGTCATCTCCGTCTTGACCACATTTGTGTGACTCGCATCGAGTTCAGCTGCGGGTCGGATACAATCACTTCATCCATGTTGTCGGTGTTTGCACTGTTGAACTTTTCGTGCTCCTTACTTCTGAAAATGTCATCGGTGAAGGCAGCGAAATCCAGGATTACAGGAAGCTAACCCCCAGAAAAAAGCGCCAGAGGTGTAATTGTTAGCTGGAAGTCGGGGTGAGATAGTTCAACTCTGCGGTTAAGGGAGAGCGGCGCTTCAGGCCCGGCAGCTTTGGGAGGAATCCAATATGACCCAACGAGCGTTGCAAAGTTCGTGGGAGTTTTTTGGTTTCAACGCGCTTGTAATCCTACGTGACAGCTCCCTTTCAACCTTTCATAATGGACCTTTATGCACTCCCCTGTAATTATCTCTCGAACTGCTGCTTGCTATCGTGACTTGTGATCTTTTTGCATGCTACAAATAGACGTATGCCTCTTGACGGGGCCTGTGCGCGCCGCTTCAAAGGCCTTTCCGTCGCAGTCATCTTCTCCATCGGCGCTCGGATTCTGCAAAAAGAGCCATCAAAGTAGTTTTGGGCCAGCTCAACTTTTGCACTTATTGATGATGTGTGAGGTCAGCAGCTTTCACACCCTTCAAGTCAGGCAACTGCGTCTCACGGCGGGCCAGTCAGCGGCACATCATCTGCGTCCGAGCCGACAGGACATGATTTCACCTGAAAGGTGAAGATCCGTCATGACAGATGATTGTCTGAACGTGTCAGTCTCACTTTGGACACCCTCGTGCATTGTCAGGCTGACAGTGACAGTGCAACAAGTGAACGTCTAGCTTCTACTTGATTCTCTTCCACTTTGATTTTGCAAAAGTTACAAGGGAGGCATCAAAGTTACAACTTTGACCCGAATTAGTCTCCAATTAGCCTAACTTGGTTGTATTTCATCTCTTGAAAGGAGAAGTGCATGACAACGGGAGCTTACCGTTTTTGTTGTTGTTTTTTGTTTTTTAAATTATTGTAAAATAAATATTCATAAATATTCATCCGTAGCACATAAATGACCAGTTAAAACAATATATTCTGTCAGGACACTTTCAGCACCGCTTGCCTCCATTGCCACTCATCCTGATGTACGACTGGGTGTGAATATATGGCGGTGGTGGTCCGAGGGACTGTGGACTGGCGGCCAAGCACCTGCTAGCCTGCCCCTGGGCAGCTGTGGCTCCATGTGCCGCCACCAGAGTGTGAACGTGCGAGTGCACGAATAATGTAGCCATGGTGAATGAAGCGCTTTGTTCCGAGAAACGCACCATTTCAATCTCAAGCATTATTAGTATATGATTAAATGGCAGAATTAATATCGAAGATGGCGTGTGCTGTAAAAATACCACAGATGTACACGGATGATTCTTCAACTTTCTTTTGACCCAGATAATGTGAATGCTGAAAAGAGAAGTCCACTTTTCTACTGCAAGGCTTTCCCTGACAAATACAATTATAATCCAACATTTTCATTCTTTTTTTTTTTCTATGTGCGGCATTCTTTTTGTGTGAGGAAACATCTCTGTGCTTGGACGCATCATCCGTGGCCTCGCGTGCCCAAGCTGCTGTACTGTGATGTGAATAAGGCGGGACAAAGCGCAAGCCTCCCCTCCCCGCCGTCTCCCCTCTTTCTAAGCGGATCAGAGGTGAAGAGCCCAGCACATCAGTGCAATTACACTGCGGGTCCACACAGACGTGTTGATTGCAGCGGACAGGTCCAGTAAACAGTAGCCCGTGTGCCGCTGAGTCAGGTGGAGTGTCACTTTGAGTGAAGGCCTCACTCAGGCCACACTTGTTGACAAGGTGCTCTCTGGCTTCAAAGCTCGGTTGTGTAATCCAAGCAGTTAGGAAAGGACTTGAATTGGGGGCGAGGTCAGCTGCATAACACTCAACAAGGGACTGAGGGCTGAAGATTGTTTGGGTGTGTTTGCCAAGAGTGTGCAGACCTAAGGATAGGGGAAGTTGTGCAAGGCTGAAGGTGTGGTTGCTTGCCTGCTTTTTTTTTTCTTTTTTTTTTCGGTATGCGCTGACAACTCCTTCGAATCTGGTTTCACGCCCAGCAAAACGGTCAAAAAGGGCTACTTTGGTAATAATTGTAAGTGGCCGTCGCTACATGCAACCTTCTGGTTGTCCAGAACCCAGCCGTCTCCAGCATATTCCAAGAATAAAATTCAAATCGGCAACCACTATAGCCAGACTAATGGACTGGTGTCATTTATTTACAGGGATAAGAGGCCATGTCATTCGCACAAACTCTCAGCGTCGGGCAGCAGGCAGCAGCATGACTAGCAGTCTGAGTTCTGTTCTGCATGGAAAAACTCAGTAAAAAGAAGAATTCTGGTGAAGGGCGTGTGAAGCACGTCTAAAAAAGCAAATAGGGTGGAGGAGTGCGGGCCTGTCTCGGGTTGAAGAGCTGCGCTATTGTGCGGCAGATGATGGTGAGCGCATGAGGCGTGTTTACGTGTTCTTGGACATGTGCGAGGAGCGACGTGCGCAAACGGCGTGCCGCTGTGCTGTTATTATTTCTGTTTGGTAATTATTGTTTTCACAACCGCCGCACCATTACCTGCTGTCTTTTAGCCGCCGAAGCGATAGGATCGAGACAATGCAATTTCATTTTAGGGGGTAAAATAACACAATTCTAGAGGTTAGGGGCTTAGGGGTTACTGTTAGGGTTAGGGGATAAGGTTAGATTTAAGAGACACTTCGTTGTGTAAACTTTTATTTAGTTGTTGTGAAATGCAGGAAAGTCAATTTTCACAACAGCGAAAGTTTAAATACTTTGTTCAATTGCCCAACTGAACATTTTATGCATGTTTGTTGCCTCGGTATGTTGAGTTTACTCCACTTTTTTTTTTTTAACAGTAAATACAAACGCCTTATTTTGCAAAAGATAGTGACAATATGAGTGAAGTATCCATTCAGTAATGTGTTTATTGTTGTGGATTTCATTTGAGGTGTGGTCGAACAGCACGGTGTCATATTGAGAATGGCTCAATTATGCTGACGCCATTTCGCTAGCAATCCGCCCATCCATGTTGTCTACCGCTTGTCCTCATTAGGATGGGTTGAGTTGGATACGATCCCAGCAGAGTTTTGCACCAGGCTACGCCTCGGACTGGTGTCCATTTACCGACAGAGTCGCGTTGTGTTCAGCCATCTCAATGATTGCCCATCTTTGCATACCGTTAAGAGCAAGTCATCTGTTTTGCCGATCCTCCTCGGCATCCCTCCACTGTCTCATGCTTCAGTCTGGCTATTTTTAGATGTGGCGCACAAGCAAAGAGCAATGATCCGGCTTCGCTGCCATACGGTTCTCAAGACCGTGACCGGCATCCGATCGATTTGGATCACCTTTCAGGTTAGCTTGCCGGTTGCTATTGCAAACTTGGGAGACAATAGAGGTGAGTCTCACGTTGCACGGAGGACCGGTGCACCTGATACTCTCAAGGTGATTGGCCCTCATCACATGGGCTCACGGAGGGACCGTCCCTGAGAAGCGGCGCTTGTTACCAAGCCACTGTGACTCATTCATGCTGGCCATGTGCAGCCTATTTGTGTGTGAGAGACAGCGAGAGAGAGGGAGAGGCTTGGAAACAGAAACCGAGAGGGACACGGGGACACGAAGCAGATGAATGAAAAACAACTCCACTGCACTATCGTAGCCCATTCGATTTGAAGGTGCCTGTGTTCAATCTCTGCCCTCCATCTTCAAAATTCGGCTCAACGACAAGTGACATGGCTTTGACACCTGCTTGTGTTGAGTCATATTAAAATGTAAATGAGTCAGTGGGGGGGGGTCAATCTAGCACATTACATAACATTGTCAAACTGCTGTGTTTAAGTGACTTTTTTCTAGTTACTCAAAGCACTTTTACAAGGTGCCCTCATTCACACAATAATGATGGCACCCACACATACACGGCCATGTGCATGCGTGCATATTCACACTACAACTCAGCCTATCTCCCAACTCGCCACCACCACTACCTACCCCCATCCCCCGCCCCCCCCAGTGTTTGATGCAATCTAGCACATTACATAACATTGTCAAACTGCTGTGTTTAAGTGACTTTTTTCTAGTTACTCAAAGCACTTTTACAAGGTGCCCTCATTCACACAATAATGATGGCAAATGCCGTCACTCAACGGAAGTAACCAGAGTTCATTCAAACATAAATAACTCTACAAGAGGAGTAACTGAGTTTCAGAAGTCTGCGTCAGGACACTTTGTAAAAACTGACGGGCAAGAAGCCTGCACACTTCAGCTGCAAATTTTTTTTTTCTTTTCGCTGCTTAATAAAGGCACTGAGCCTCCAGACACTGAATGGAAAGGGTCAAGTCTGTCCACATTTAATGTCTCAGGGATCTCCAAACTTTTTCCACTGAGGGCCACGTACAGAAAAACGGAAGGAAGACTATAAATGGTATAATTTGTCGGTAAAATTGTTATAAATACACCTCTACCATTGTGATATGAAAGAAAACAAAAGAGACATGTTTTCTTGGTCTGTCACAGCAATAGATTTGAAATGCATTAATTTGCCTGAAAAAAAAAAATCTATTAATAAATGAGAGCACCACTGCCACCTATTGTAGTGGATGTGCAATTGGATTTTGTTGTTACACAGCCCCCCCCCCCCGCCCCCAGCATCACACGAGGGGGAATTTTAGAGGGACCGTTTCACAAAATATGACATTGTTTCATTCGAACAGTGGTATTTAATCTTGTCTTTTTGCCAACTTTGTGTTTGTGTTTCACGGGTGGTTTCACCATAAAGGCTGTCTAAAGCCTCACGCTTGTCAGAGTGCTCTTTACTGTTGGTAGAAACCGTCACCGGGCATCATGTGGACAGACAAACCGTAACAAATAACACCAATTCAATAGGTTGGTTGGGAATGAAAAAAAAGAAAAAAATCGATGGCTTGAATTTGAAAGCCAGACAACATTTCTGTGCTTCCAGTTTG